GAACACTTTGTTTGTAGTAATGCCGATCTCTCAGTGTGATATACTTTGTGTGTTTGTACGTATCTGTTTTTAATTTTTGTATTTTAGTGTTCTAATGTATTTTTTTACTTGTTGACATTATCCGATACTTTTGTTAAAAGTCAAATGAAATAAACATTATTATTAACAGCTCTAATTTTCTTTGTACTGTTGAACTATACTATAATGCCTGTTCTTTGTTTTATTAATTATTTGTTTTTTACTAAGACTTAGTCTTATTTATTTTATAGCATAGTATTATATTACTAGACGCTATACAAAAAATACCCCTAAATTGGCGCACACGTGGTAAAGTTTGTTTTAGACATCGAATTCTTAAAAGTTATACCCAAAAACAGTCTTGCATAATTCTACAACCTTGCACCATTTGTTGCAGTAAAGGTCTGCGGTATACCTAAGCCTAAACCAGTTGTGTTTTAGACTTAAGGTTAAATTCGCTCCTTTTTTGATTCTTCCAATTAAACAAAATGAGGTACCAGATTATTAAGCGAAAACGAAGATTTTTAAAACATTATCCTCTTTTTACGTAGCGAAAGTTTGAAGATTGTCCAACGATTCTCCAAGGCGCTTTCTATCACCACTTCGCTTTTTTCCTGCTTATCATTTGAAGCGGTTGAAAGCCGGTTACCATTTTATAGAAGTATCGAAATAGGTTGGATAAAAAAAACCTACTTAACTCGACATTAAAGAAGAGGAAAATAATTACAACTGTGCCATAGACAGATAACTGCGTATACGTAAAATATTACTTTACGGAAGGAACATATTAATCTGCCGTAACAACTCCAACTTCCCGATGTTTATTTGTAAATAAATCAAATTAATTGCAAATACATGTCCATTATCTGTTTACGTGTCGCGCGCGGAATCTTTACAACTCAATGAAATTATTATATTGTTAATTTGTGCGAGCGATAGGCCGGGCCCAGGGCTTCGACACTATTCCGCCATGCATTTAGTTAACATTCTGCAATCAACCGAACCCACAGCATAAAATAAATTACAAATATGAATGTATTCATTTTGCTCGCATAAATTTATGAATAATAGAATAAATAACGGTTATGAACAAATGAACGTTTTTATTAAACTAGAACTTGGAAAACAATTTAACCTACATAGTTATTAGATAATATATTGGCACTACTATGGCTCCAATTCTCAAATCTTTTAAGTTATGCTGCACCTTCCTTTCTAAACAGCGATATCCAAACACTAACTCCTTTTTGCCCGGAGTTTTAATGTTCCTTAGATATTTTGAGAAAATACCGCTTCCAAACTTATTGATGATCTGTTAGCGGCCATGTTGGTTGTAGAATACCGCAAGGTTATTGGTTAAAATCGAGATTTCTCAAAAAAAAAAAATTATAGTTGCTTTATAAGTTCCTGTATTATCATAGGCGGGGCCGAACGACAATATTTATTCCAAATATTTTTCTGAAAATAGCAATACTTCCTACTCGAATGCTTTAAGCATTTACATTAAATTTTTAGAGGAAGTTTCCATGATGGATACAAGTACGGCAAGTATTGCCCAAGCGCCCAGTGCTAACCCCTCAATGCTTGGTGTGGGTACCACCCATTCTCGTAACTCATACCGGATATGAATGTTTTGTAACGCTACGTATAAGGCATTTTTCTGTTTCATAGGTTAAGGATGCGACGATACAATGAACGGAAACCGGGAAAATGGCGAACTCTTTATGGTAGACGGTTGGGCAATTCTTCATTGTTTATGAAACCGTCTTAATAAGTCACGTGATATGATCGGCTGCTAATTGGAACCTACGGTTGTCGTCGTATAAAATACATTCCATTACAAATATCATTAAATTTTACTAATCAAAATTAGTTATTTACTGACATATACAATCATCATAGACTAAGCGAATCATTGTTGTTTTGAGTTCCAATATTATTATAATTTTATATTATATTAAAAAAAATCTATTCTCACTAATATTGAATAGCGACAATTCAACTGAAGGTCAAAATTGTGATGTGTTTGTATTTTTTCTTATTCGTTTATTGTGCCAAAAATGTCATAAAAAATTCATGAACCTATGAAAATAAATTAATTACAAAAACCCCGACCATGAAATCGGCATTATTTTGGAAATCATGGAGAAGAAAACAAAAGTAAAAATAAAATTTTGATACCCTCTATTGTGAAAACTAAGCATTTGGACTGCTTATCTTAGAAATACTTGAGAAATCACCAACTGAAATATTGGAAAATTATCAAATATTATAATTATAATTATAAATATTATATTATAAATAAATATAATAAAATATGAATTATAAATATTATATTACTAATTCCCAGTGGTAAAAGTAATGCATGACTTTTTATTTATATAATCTATATGTTAAATATCTTTTCTATGCATTCCTCGGAGGAATTTTCAGAAACAACGTGACGAACCCAGAATTCGTAATTATCTTTTCGTCTAGAGAATAAGACATTTTTTTTTGTTAATTTGTTCCTCGCTTAAAGCACTACATTAAGGCAATCTATCCCTTTATGATAATTTTGACGGATTGCATCGTTTTGTGGGACGTTAATGACTGAATAAATAAATAAATCCACTCAGTTTGCTGAATTGCTTTCGTTGCCATATGCAAATGCAAAATTATGACTCATTCTGATTCAATAACATCGATACACCTACATCATCAATAGTCTAAACATTCGACTCGGTTGCGTAAAATAGTGACAAAATATGTTATCAAATATTAACAATCCGGTGCAAATAAAAAAATGGCTCGAATAAACTCTGACCATAAATATTTACAATAATTTCACACCGATAGAACTATTCTGTAATAAAAACACTGAAATAGTTCAAATATAAAAATAGTTTTTAGATTGTGCGTATTGGCCAATACAACTGACTCTTTTAAACCTGATATTTGCGCTTGTTGAACTTTTTTTTTGATATCTTCCCATATTCAGATACGACGAGAAAATCAACTGTGAGTGTTAGAACGTGATTTCATACATATTGTCACCTTATACAAACACAAATAAAGGCATTTAGAAAGCCATTTAAGATGTATAAATAAAAGAGCAAACTGCTTATTTTTCTGCTGAAAAAAAAACTCAAGTACAGTGTAGAGTGGCACGGCATTTTTACCACAGAAAAAGTTCATTTTCAGGTTTTCGAAACTAACTTACACGACTCACGTAAAGGTCATAGACCCGGATCTCCCGCGTCTTTTAGTTCGAGAACTGATTTCATCGAACAATAGTATATTAAGCAACAAGTGCGAGAGCGAGTGTTTAATAAACGAGTGAATTAAAAAGTTTACCGAACGTGTTTTTCTACGACCGTTAGTTTTTGGGTACATTTACGCAAAACAACACCAATACATTCACTGACATAACCGTCAGAATTGACAAACGTCAAAATTCAAGGCGTGGAAAATATCTCCGAAAACATCCGATTGCTCCCATACTCGTGCGGTAATATCCCGGAAATGACCGAAGTGGCTCGGATTCATGGCAAACGAAACTAACGTTGTAAAGTGACCCTTCCCGCACGCTAGAACAGTGTGTAATTAGGCATTTTACAGACGGGAATAGAAAAACACTTCTTGAACACGTGAAAGAATCTCAATTGATTTTAAAAAATAGCGCACTCAGTTTCGCTAGGTTTCAATCGACGCCGTATTGCGGTATATTTAAAAATTAAGTAAATGAGAGCGAAAGTCCCAAAGTGAGCATTTTAATGTTCGTGTGTATTCGTAGGTGTGGCTCTTGTCGTGATGCTCCACGGTTTGAAACCTATCGGAAAGAACGATGCTTACAAGGTTAAACGTTCATACCTGCACTCACGGTTAGTAAATTATTTTGCAAAGGTCGAGGCAGCACAAATACATAACCTTAACGCCTCCACCCGCGCATAAAAGATGGAATTTTAATTTTGTACGGGCGTATATAAATAGCTTATTACTCCTGTTTGGTTCCGGACACACATAAAACATGTAAAAACAGAAAACCGCTATGGAAACCATGCGTGGAATTCCGCGGAAATTGTGCTGCAGTATGCAGGTGCCACTTCTTGATTCGGGGCAGTACTGGCATATCAGTCACGGTTATAGTTACAAAGTTCTGTTGGTTTCAGAAAAACGTGGTAGTTTGCAAAAATTTTTGCAAATTACTGAGTTAAATAAGACTGAAAGTTTTATTATGTTTTTACGCTCTACATACTTAGATTTTATCTTCGAAGTTTCGATTTCAGGTAACCATCATCAACTTCGTCACTCTTCCTGTTCTGTTGAATTTCTACAAATTATACAATCGTAAAGGGTTTTTCTGTATGAGGCATCACTTGCTGGAAAAAATTTACAATAAGGTCAAACTATTCTTATCGTGTTTCGATATTTTGCAGTCATTTTGGAACATAATTTACAGTTTCCTTTGTATTCTAAGTAATAATCAACTTTGCTATAACATATAATATAGTTACATGTCTTATTTTACTTTTTTTTTATTAAAATTTAAACTGGCAAACTTTTCCTTTTTTTAATTATAATCTTAATAATTATAATCAATGCGACGGCAAAAAACTTGAACTCATACGTCTCATTTTTCATCATCAATTTAGCCGACCACAAAAAAATTGGCAAAGGCCATCGTTTTCAAGATACCCAGAAAAAGCAAGTACATGTTTAGTGCACCATTTTGTATAAAGTAAAAAAAGAATTACAGGAAAATTATGACCATAAAATATTTGTATCGCATAAAGCCATCGGGAGAAAATCGGATGTTGTTTATTTTTTGAAGAGCTCGCCAAAATTTTTGATATATTTGATATTTTCTGCCAAACATAACTTTTCCGGGTCGTTCAAGATTTGTAATCTTTTTTTCTGCGTGTTTAAAATATTTTGGCAGTCACTATAATTAATCCTATTCCATTTCCATTTTGTAGATCGCATTTGTTCCCATTTTCCAGGTTCCGGCGACCTTTTGTTGCCTGATAGCGGCCGCGTACGCCGCTATAGCACCCGGCCAGAACGCATACCTGCCACCAAAAACGGGATACGATTATCCACCCCCGAGGGTTCCGTTCCCCACTCCCCCTCCAAGTTTCCCACCACCGAGACCTCCGTCGCCACCCTCACCGAGACCTTCGTACGGTCCTCCACCAACGCCCCCTACAAGACCGCCGCAAGCAACGGTACCTCCTCCTTACCGCCCGTCTAACCCACCTTCGATACCTTCAGTGCCTTTTAAACCCACTACACCTCCCCCGAGCTACAGACCTCCGTCCACTCAGAGACCATCGTATAGACCTCCTCCGACTCAGAGACCTACTTCGCCTCCATACAGACCTCCAGGTAAGTTGTTATATGTTTATTTTCTATCCAAATTATTGCCGGATTTTTAGGAACCCGCCCTCCGAGTTATTTGCCACCCCAACCCCCAGCACCGACTTATCGTCCACCGTCACCTCCGCCTAGACCTTCCTACGGACCACCACCAACTGCACCTTCTTACAGGCCGCCGACCTACGGACCTCCTCAACCGCCAAGTAGACCACCTTTTAGGCCGACACCGCCACCGTACAAACCTCCACCTCAACCTCCCAGACCCAGCTACGGCCCCCCGCCCACAAGTAAGAAGCAAGAACCGGCTAAGCCCAAATTGTGAGCTTATTGCGTTAACAACACGTTCTTGCTGAATCGAATACAGCAAGAACGAGCTTCTAGGAAGGCAAAATAAAAATATTGTTCTTTTTTTTATTGTCTACCCAACTGTACCGGGTTCTTGCTCATGTCGTTATGGAATATTTTGACGAATCGTCTTTTCAGCGAGTTCGTAAATGGGTGATAGATCATGTACATTACTAATGAATAAAAGAGGACTTCCGTTTCCTGTCTGAAGTATAACCGAACATGATTTTTGTTATTGTTTTTAATACAAAATTATTCGAAAAGCTTAACAATGTTTACTAAAAAAAATAAATTTGGACACACTAAAAAATACCGTTCATAAAGAAGCTGATACTGACCCTTCAGTTTCGGATTTTGGTTTTGCTGAATACGAAATATATGTTGAAAATAAATCGTCTCAATAAATAACTACTAATTTAAGTTGTCAAAACCTAGATACTAATCACTCCATTAATTATTTATAAATAATTAAGAAAATACACTGTTTAAAGAAAAAGTTAGTCGGTGCATAGATAATTAGAAAAAGATATACAGGCCAAGCGCATTCACCATCTGTCGACATAGTTTTCTTCAATATTTCATTTACTTTCGATATGTGTTGTTGCTGATCTTAGAAGTAAATTTCTATAGGTAGACCGCCTCAAACCCCACCACCCGGAATACCACCCAGAACCGGCCCACCACCGACGTACGGACCCCCTCGGCCACCTGGCCAACCGATTCCGGGGAATGGAGAGGTACGTCTAACTTACCTTTTATGTGGATTTAACTCGGACAATCTTTGTTCCAGAATGATCACCTCTTATTACCTCATAAACCCGCCGAACCTTTCGACTTCAAGTACGCCGTGAAAGACACGTACGGGAACGACTACTCTCACAACGCTATCAACGACGGTGATACCACCAACGGAGAGTACCGAGTGCAACTACCAGATGGCAGGACCCAAGTCGTCAACTACGTAGCCAATTGGGCAAGCGGTTTCCACGCCAAGGTATACCGCTTGATCTTAAATTTTTCGATTGCTTGTTCCAAGGATGCTTTTAGATACGATACGAAGGTCAACCGACGTATAGACCAGGACCAAGTCCCGGTTACCCTCCGGGACCTCCCGGCTCTGTGAGACCCCCAAGCCCGACTGGACCAGGGTACCCTGGTAGACCATCTCCACCTTCGAGACCTGGACAAGAGTACACTCCAGATGGAGGTTACAAATATTAATTAATGTTTCAGAAACTCGGTACAAAAACAACACATTGATAACACTGACCCGAATATACAGGATGCGAAGGAAATTAGGTGTGTACGAAGAGATATAATTCCCATTGCATCCTGTAGCCAACTTGCGATCGAACTATGAAACGACATTTGCGAAAAGCCGCCACCTTCGGCAACGTAACGTATATTTTTTATATTTGGCACTAGCCAATAACACGAAATCGTATTGCCAGTTCTAGTGCGAGGTCGGAATTATATATTCAATTCTTGCAGTGGGTCACCATGTAAATTATTTATGTAAATGCGAAAAAAATAAAATATTTTTTTAGACGATTGTGTTATTTTGATTCGCTGCGACTGACGAATTTGATTGATCATAAATGATTTGCTAGTAAGATTATTTCTTTTAATTATTATAATTATTATAAAAATTCTTAAATGCAGTATAATTTCCGGCTGAGAAAAAGTGGTTGTTTTATGCGACATGCGACATTGAAGCTTCTCCTGAGAAAATAGCATTAACTTTGATATTTTAAATTTGAAACATTTTATATTATCGGACCGAGGTGACTTTTACTTGATGAAAATTCATTTAACATAATTAAATTAGAACAAAAAATGGTCAGATTTTGACAATTATTTAATTATTTATGACAGCTCTTTGTGCGACACCGTGCCTTTATCAAATGCAAAATATGACAATATTCAGACACCCATCTATATAAACAGGTAGTAACAGATTTGTAATTACCAATGTAGAGTTATAAATTTAAATTTAAAAGCGGAGACTCATTTAAATCCAATTGGGCATTAAGTTATAGATTCCAATATCTCAGTTTGTTAATATCCATAGCTTCCAACAAGTTTAGTTTCTTGCTTTTTGATTGATTATGTAAATAATCAAAATCATCGTCAAACTTGTGCATTTCTGAATTTAAATGAATGACATAGGTCAGACAAAATGGTTAAAGGAAGAACGAACGAAGACATCAATATAAGAAAATAGATATACATAAACTTGATCCCATAGAATTTGATTTTTAGGTAATAAAATCGGAACTGATATACCAAAAATTATTCACAAAATTATCAATTAATCAATTAAAAATAAGGCTTCCCAAAATAATACAGTAAATACACAGACAGAGAGACAGTTATTGCTATCAATTCTCTAAAATAAATTACAAAAACCAGTTTCTAAAACCAAGCCAAGCTCCAGAACAGGAACAGGAAAATATATCTGGGGAAAGAGAAAACACCCAACAACAATTAATATCAAAAAACAAAATTGAAGCAACAATGCGCAAGCTGAAAAACAGGAAATCATCAGGGCTGGATAATATTAATAACGAGCTTCTTAAATATGGAAATATGGAAATTAAGCATAACGATCCCTGTTTTCAAACAAGTGGAAAAGAAATAACCAAATAATTATAGAGGGATCAGCCTCCTAAACACGACTTCAAAATTATTAACAAAAATTATTACAGCAGAAGTCTCAAGTAGTGGTATGAGCGAAGAACAGCAGGGATTCAGACCAAATAAATCGACCATAGACGCTATATTCATCTTAAGACAGATTGCCGAAAAGGCCATAGAGTACAATAAAACCGCGTATATGTGCTTCATAGATTTAACAAAAGGATTTGATAGAGTGACATGACGTCATTGAGCTGCTAAAAGAACGAGACGTAAACCAAAGGACAATAGACATTATTCGGAACATGAACAACGGATTTAGCACGTATGTAGGGGTAAACAACGAACACTCCAGTAAAATACCAGTATCAACAGGGATCAGACAAGGAGATAGCCTCAGTCCAATACTCTTCAACATTATAATGGACGAAATAATAAAAGAAGTCAAAACTGCAGGCAGAGGATACAGAATGGGAAAGCATGAGTTTAAGATAATTTGGTACGCTTATGATGCGGTTGTGATATCGGAAGATGAGGATAATCTGCAAAAACTACTACACAAATTCGAAACAGCTGCAGGAAAATTCAATATGATCATATCGACACAGAAGACACAATCCTTGACAATAGCGAGAGAACCCAGAAGATGCAAACTGGCAATTTATAATAAAAGTGTGGCGCAGATTATGTCTTTTAAGTATCTAGGGGTTAACATCACTAGCAACAGGAACCTGAAACAAGAAGTAAAATTGCACACAATAGTAGCATCTAGGATATCGGGTTTCCTTCGAACCGTGATATGGAGGACTAAATACTTAAGTATCCAAAGCAAAACACGGATATATAAAACTTGTGTTAGACCAGTTATGACATACGCCATAGAAACGATGGCGGAGACTGCAGCTACTAAACAGATTCCTAGAACGACCGAAATGAAGACATTACGCTCAATCACAGGGAAAACGCTAAGAGACAGAATAAGGAGCCATGAAATTAGAAGAATGTCTGACGTTCCGGATATAGCGATATGGGCCAGAACTAGAAAATGGCGAAAATCGCAAAGGAAGAGAGACCCAATACAAGCAGACCTCCCGGAAGACCACCAAGGCGCTGGTATGAAAGCTGGACCTCGAAGTCACAACTTAGGCTGCTTCCTTGAAAACACAAGACATAGTCTTAAAACAAGAAGAAGAAGAAGTTTCTTAAAACAGACATATATCAAAGTATACAATATGATCCTACCGAGTTATATCAAAACAGTAATTACAGATTCATCGCTTAATGACCATATCATTTACCATAGAGACGGAAATAGATAACTCATTAAACTTTGTGGATTTAACTATAACTAACAAACAGAACAATTAGATTTCTCCACTTACCATACACCCTCGGATATGGAGACAATAATACATAATAACTCAAATCACCCTTACACATACAAAATGACTGCCTTTTGTGCTTTTATCCATAAACTGCATAATATACCACTTTCCACAGAAAATTTTAAAAACATAAAACAAATAGCTTTTAACGATGGTTACGACCCCTCTTTGATAGATAAGATCATAACTAAATAGCAGTTTTAAATACTCTGAACTCTATCTATCCCATGTTAAACACCGAACTCAAAATTTATAAGTCAATAAAATACATAGGAGAACCTAGCAAGAAAATTTCGAGACATCTATCAAAATTTGGTCTTTAGATTGCTTTTAAAACTGAAAACATCGAAGGACAATTTTTAAAAAACAATAAAAATAAATTACGAAAAACTCAAAAATCCAGAGTCTACAAGCTGAAATGTGGATCATGTCCCAAAATTTATATCGGACAAATAGGTACAACATTTAGAAACGGATTAACGAACATGACCAATTGAATTTACATGCGTCTCCGTTGTTCAATTTAAATTTATAACCATTCAGTTACAATTAAAAATCTATTGTGTTTCCGAAACAGCTGTCATATATCATTAAATAACTATGATAATCTGAAATATTTTTTTTGTAATTTTATTGTATTTCATTATTATATTCATTTCTGTTCAAACATTTGTAATTTTATAAGTGAGACGGGTTGCACTGGTGGTTGCTTTATCGTACACGTTAATACTGATGGCAGATTGCTCTAATAAGAAATTGCTTAATATAATTTCCCCCTTTCTTTTACCTATTTGGGATATTTATGGGGGTAAATCGATTGCTAGAAAGTACTGAAATCATTGAAATCGTTTACCCTTCTTTGAAGTTAGTGCCTGTGATATGCTTTGACTGTTTTTGACAGTGGAAAATCTTGTATATGTATACCTACTTACAACATCGTGCTGGAAAATTCTTGTGTTGCATATTATTGCATTAATATAACCGGCAATTGGGTAAGTAAATTTACAGCTATTCCATATTACATGATCTGATTTTGCTTAATAAATAAACTCAAGTTATTATGTAAATAAAATATATAAAAATGATTATCTAAATGTGCACTTAATTCGTATTTTGGTATACTTTATCAGTTGATGCTAAATTTAAATGTTCCATGATATCAAAAATTAATTAAATATAATGGGTGTTTTTTTTTCTATATATAGAACTTTAAGTATGGAATTACTGTTTAAGATGGCGACCGAGCTGCCAAGTGATTTATTCTCAGTTTACTTTGGCAATTCATCATGAATAGACTCACGCCTGAACAACGCTTGCAAATAGTGCAATTTCAAGCATGGAACGTTTTTGCACCACGTTTACTCTTATTGATAACTCGCATCCCCAGAGACGACGCACGATGCGTACAGAAGAAGCTGTTGCTGTTGTAGAGCGTAGCATTGAGGAAGACCCGAATGAGTCCATCCGCCATCGAGCACAGGAATTGGATCTGTGTCCATCCACTTTATGGAAGATTTTGCGGAAGGATCTTGGTTTACGTGCTTACAAAATCCAACTCGTGCAAGAATTGAAGCCAAACGATCATCATGTAAGGCGTAGATTCGTCGAATGGGCCCAAAACGAGATTTCCGTTGTTCCCGATTTTCCTAAGAGAATTTTGTTTAGCGATGAAGCGCACTTCTGGTTGAATGGCTACGTCTACAAACAAAACTGCCGCATTTGGAGCGAAGCTAATCCTCAATTGTATGTCGAAACACCGTTACATCCAGAAAAACTGACTGTTTAGTGCGCTTTATGGGCTGGTGGAATCATTGGTTCGTACTTCTTCAAAAACGATGATGGCCAGAACGTTACAGTCAATGGTGATCGGTATAGAGCTATGATTACTAACTCTTTCATTCCTGAATTGAATAACCATGATGTCCAGGAGATGTGGTTTCAACAAGACGGCGCAACATGTCACACAGCTCGTGCCACAATCGATTTATTGAAAGACACGTTTGGTGACCGCCTAATTTCACGTTTTGGACCTGTAAATTGGCCTCCAAGATCTTGTGATTTAACACCGCTAGACTACTTTCTGTGGGGCTATGTAAAGTCATTGGTCTATGCGGATAAGCCACAAACGCTTGACCATTTGGAAGACAACATTCGCCGTGTTATTGCCGATATACGGCCACAAATGTTGGAAAAAGTCCTCGAAAATTGGACGTCCAGATTGGACTACATATGCCAGAAATCATATTTAAATTGTAATGCCACACGTTTATCTTTCGGATAAATAAAATTCATGTCAATCGAATAATCCATCGTTGTTTTATTGCAACTTAAAGTTCTATACATCGAAAAAAAACACCCCTTACATATTTAGGTAAATACGCATATATTTTAAATCTTTTTGAAACTAAGAAAATACATATTGCTAAGGAGAACACTCCATTATCGTGGTCATCAAGCATTAATAGACGTAGTTTTCGTAAAATATTCCTAGCTTTTCTACCAGTTTAGATTGAGTTCACTGCGTTGATTTTTTTCACAAACTATTTCTGCTCTAAAAACAGCTGTCGAATGACCACAATTTTTATATTTTGTATACGACAAGCGTTCATAAGCTTATAATTTTGTTTCGAAGACAGAGACTTAAAAATAAACACATCGCTTTCAGATATGAGCAAAAAATGATATTTTTGTTAGGGAAAGTTTGATTGGGATATATTAGATTTAACTGCTCGAAATGGCGCTTTTCACGTTGCTTAGGAAAGCGGCGTGTTCATTTTTGCGCCGTCTTTGTTTCAGTCTATTTTTGGACCTTTGCAAGGCAAAAGATAACGTCAGCATAGGCCATTGTGAAATGAAATATTATGTATTATATTTATTTAAATAAACCACATTTTTTTTCTAAATCACAGTTTTATTTTATTTCCTTTTGAATATAACTTCGAAAACCCAAAAGACCAACTACTAATTTATCTCTATGATCTGGATCGTAGAAATTCCGCTACGAAATACAAATATTACAACTAACCAACCAACTCATATATTTTATTTTTTGATAATTTAGCTACGTAATTTTTTAATTAAAATGAAACAGGTACATCTAAAGCGTATATCAGGAGCAAAACGTCAGCGAAAACTTAACCATATGCTAGAGCGTGCTAGAATGATTCTGGGGCTGCGCTGTTGTCGGCCCTGCTGAAATTTATCCTGCAACTTTTAAATCAAACTCATTAAGCTCTAACAGCTGAACAACGGCTTAGTTCGGCGCGCCATATTGGGAGCTCGGTTTCTGGTAGTTGTATCCGCCGCCTGGTTGGCCTGCAATCAAACCGGACCCTAAGACAACCCTTAACAGTCATCCGATCAGTCTCACCGTTACTAGGCGCGCCGTATTGACCTCGAGGAGGAGCTGGAGGAAATTTGGCTTGTCCTTCGTATCTCACGTCAGCATGGAAACCGGTCTTCCAATCCGCCCAGTAACTCACGATCTGAGTCCTGCCGTCTGGTAAATGGACCTTGTATTCCCCACGGACCTGATTACCGTCGCTCTGCTCCTGCTGGTGGAAATTACTGCCCGAGTAGTCGTCTTTGACTCTATATCCGAATTCGTAAGCTTGGGGCTGCATATAATAATATTTATAATGATGTTTGCTGAGGATATGCGTTATATCACATTAAATAAACGAATATAAATAATAAATAAAATAATTTTTGAAACAGTCAGCAAAATGTACTTCTATGCTTAAAAATAAAATGGACAGTTTTTTACAAAGCCAAATGTAATTTACGTAACAAATCCTGGCAAATTCCTGAAAACCTGCAACTTTGGGGACGTGTTACGTCCAATATATTTTTGTTAACCGGCTTAGTGCTGGACCATCTAAAAAATATGAAATTTTTACGAGAAACTGTTATTAATCATTTTTAATATTTTTTACTAATACAAAGTTAGTGAGTGCTTAGTGTTTAGTAAAAAAAAAATATTTGTTGATGTAAAAATTTCGGAATAATGGCATTTTGATACAATACAATCTCAGTCCACCTTTCTTCTTCTTATCTTATCTTATTTAATCCATTTATCTTATCCATTTAATTCAATATTTTCTTCCTGATTGCTGTCAATTTCAAATATTTGCTTACGTCAATAATTTTCATGCTACGTGGCCATTTTTTTTTTATAAATATCTTCGCAAATGTTTATTACCTTCTTTTTCTTCCAGTTTTTACCAGTTTTCATGGTCACGTCGCACGTTACTAAGTGAATGTGCCTGTTTGCAAAAATGTACGCAAACACTAGGAAAAGTATAATATTGTAATTGATGATTGACAAACTTTATCAGATACACTTCACACATTTTAATATTATTGTCAAGCAAAAACAAAAAGAGATCGGTTACAGGTTTTTACCCTACTCTGACGTCATCTTCATATATGAATACGATTTTCTGATCAATGATTGTTTCCATTGTATAATATAAAATAAGTTTTGTTGTAGCCTAACTAACGGAGTGACTCTATCAAAGACCCACCTCGGTACTGCCGTGACCGTCTCCGTGATCACCCGAGCCGTATCCCTGTTGGGGACGCGGTGCCCCGTATTGTCCCCCCAAGGATCCACCTTGGGGAACTCCGTACGATCTACTGGGGGTTATTTCGGCTTCGCTTCGTACCGCGATGATAATTGCGCAGATGAAAAAAATCGCTGGTTGCTGAAGAAATATAAAATAGTGAATCAAATTTGGCTAATAGTAAAGGTAGACAATACTACTGGAAAATTCCGCGATCTATTATGGGAAAATTGTAACTAGCAAAAATATGAAAATTTAGGAATAGGCTAAAATATTTTTAAGATGGCTACACCGCTGGAAATGGGTATGAATATGCTTAATTTAAATATGCACTAGCATTTTTCAACTCCTCGGAAAATTTTTTATGACTGAAATAAGTAATTTTATCTGTTTTATTTGTTAATGTCCATAATTATTGATAGAAAAAATAATAACTACAATGAAACTGGAGTAACCGCTGTTTTTTTTTTCAATTTTTTTTTAGAATCTTATCTTACTTAGACTAAAAATTATGGCAAATGAAATGAACATAATTTTTCAATTAATACCGTTATTGTCAACCTACTCTGTCGTAATTAATAACGAAGAATTAGAAAAAAATACCTTTTTATCAAATATGACTATTAGACTTTTTAGACTTTTAGAGCTTATTATGAACCATTCAGAAATTTTAAATACAAGTAACATTTTGCGATTAGCAAACATTTGCGATTTAGCGATATCAGACAAATAGCAAAATTCAAATTTAAAATAAAAAAATACATACAATTTTGAAGTTAAATAAATGTGAAAGTCTTAACAAAAGTTTTGCGCTAACTAAACGGGAGGCGATATCAACAGGAATGACAAAAGGAAGGATGAAAATTCTTAACGCATGTTAAGACGAAAATGTTCGTTCGTTTTCTAAATAATGGCCAATGAAAAAATAAAATTGATTGAGTTTTGTTTTTATTATTAATAATTAGTGGTAAACGATATTCCAGTGACATTTAATACACATAATAAGGGGCTTATTATTATTATATTACTTTACTTCGAGTCCATTTTAAACTGTTTAATTGATTCACTGGTGGATATCCAGATAATAAGTACTATAATTTTGCAAACACAAATAATACGAGCCTGTTCCGAATTGAATATTTTTATCATATCTAACGCAAACATTAATTTTAAGCAAATTGTCAAAGTAGCCATTTTAATTGCCTATGTCACATTATCATAGCGTGGATAAATCCGCCAGTGAATTAAGTAAAAAGTTTTAAAAGGACACAAATTAAAGTATTAAAACCCCTTGTTATGTGTACCAAATAATCATTAAAATATCATTTGCCACAAATTAATAATAATAAGAAAACCCATCAAATTTTATGTTCTCAACATCCTGTATTTCAAAAACGGAGCGACATTCTACGATTAGGTGAATATTCTCCTCCGTCTTTTTGTCAGAGACGCTAGGAAAGTGTTTATCGTGCTTTGTATATCACTGTTTAATTTTCCCTAAACAATAAATATTTTTACACTGCCAAACCTCACAAAATATAGTTCCCAGTTTCTCACGAATTCTATGTTCTAAAATAACCTTACTGTACGATTTTAAGGAAGTTAATGTAGTTGTACAAACTGCAAAAAAATGTATGTTATGTAAAAATGTATTTTTACTATTGTTTAAAGGCAATTTTTCTATTTTAATTAACCCAGCTATCTGTTTAGTTTGTTTATTTTCACAAAACTTCTCAGAAATATTTTAAATTTGTTTTAAGATGGCAAAATATTTTTTTTTAATAGAAGTTATTATTTTCTTGCTGCAAGATGTCCAACATGCAAATAAATAGAAAACAAGTAAGTATAAGGCACAAACATATTTAAAAAAAAATGTTCAAAACAAAACGAAAATTATAGATGACAATAAAACTTCGTACTCCTCGCTAGAACACTCAAAAATTGAATGGGGAACGTCGAGTGAACAAAATAAAAACAATTATCTTTAACTCGCTAATTACAACGATTTAACTTACATGTTTCATCTTAATATCCAAAAAATTAGCGGTAAATAGTTCGCGAAGAATAAGCACAGATCGTATACGCGAGATTAGATTGGACAACACACGATGCACCGCACAAAACGCAGTAGGCTGCAAAGAAGCGCTCTCTGTGGGAACGCAAAAAATTATTTGGTTTATATAGCTCCGTATTTGGTAATCCATTGTTGCAAATTGGATGGTGAAACGGAAAGTTTGCACCACATTTCGCTCCCACGTACGTGTGATAGATCTACATCGTTCATCCCCCTCTGGGCAGTTTTAGGCATTCCTGTTTTTTAAATCGACGAGGCTTGATTCGTTTTTTGCATAATTGCCAAATATCTATGCAAAACACTCAATGATTGAATGGGGAACATGGGCTGAGGAAAATAATAAAAACAATTATCTTTAGCTGGTTAATTATCTATGTATTTATGTATTAATGTATTTAGCAAATTAGTTTTGGTTTCATTTTTCGAAAAATGTTATTAAATAGCAATATTATGTACAATTGGTACTACAATGTATACATTATGCTTAATTAATTTTGTAGCTGGGTTTGATAGAAATCACAACTCGTCGCAATGCCAGAAACAAAATAAAACGCTATATGGTGAAGAATCGATAACACAAAAGAAGTAACAAAACTTCCATGATGCATGGAGAACGAAGGATAACCCACCACAGGACTGACAGTTTTCAAAAGTCAGGGACCTTTACAACTTTCAACTGTTTGAAATATTTGAAATTAGGTTGAGTTTTGACATATTACAATTATGTATTTAATAAGTTGTAAGAAATACAGGATTTTAAAATTTGCTTGTAAATTGTTTCGAATATCCTAGAACATAGACTTAATTTAGGGAAACCAAAGCCCTGTAATAAAGAGGTAACATCATCCTCTACGACACGGAGGAAGCTACCTAAAGAGAACTTTTTTTGTCAGAATTAGGTACATGTTGGTACTTAGATTTGCGGTAGCGGGTTACACAATCTGCTGCAAAACTTTAATGCTGTTATACCTAAATACCATCACCAAAGGTAAATTTCAAGCGAATGTGAGATGATTTAAATTGGTGGGTTACGTTGCAGCGTTAGATGTTATCTGCGAGGAGATAGATCAGTTTTGTTATACAATTCCCAACGGTTACCCATTAACTTTATTTTGCTTTCGTGATTCCTCTGTTTGTGGGAATCTTTTACACTTACCTATTTGCAATGAGAAATATACGTTTCGGAAGCATTTTATGCGAGGAACAGTCGGTGACATTGGCGACATTGGTTGAGCCGAGATAATTATATTGAGGAAGCCAAGCCACATTACTGCTATTGATTACTTTTCATTTTAACGATAATAATTACCTCATTACTGAGAGCATTAGATGACGGTAGAATTACCAACAATGTTAGAGCAATACAAACGTTCCCAGAAGAAAAATGCAAACTTCATATTTAAACCAGAGATTACGGTCATTCGCATTTATTATTGAAATGTAGCAGTGTACCCAGTTTTGCTGAACTATTTACATGAAGTCCAATATCGTAGCAAGCATTTTTATAAATATTACTGTTTTTTAAATGGAAAAATCATACATAGGCGGTCAGGGTTAATCCAATTAATTAAACGTACCAGTATATGATGTAGCAACGAAAAATATTTCGAAAACAATAAATTTTCGGCATGTGCCTAAAATTAAGTTTCAATAATAATTAAAAACGAAAAAATTGTTTTTTCATGGTTTTTTAAATTTGAATTTAATTTTTTCCTCACCCTGTACAAATAATTATGAAAATAACTAACTAAAGTCGTATTTTAAATTATAAGGGATTCCATATGCAAAAAACTTACGTAATTTCTAACAAAAAATATTTTTAAAACGGTGAAATTTGGGCTATGGGGCTATATTAAAAAAAACGGACGTCCCACCATCTTGAAACCATTTTAGACGCATGGTTCCCATCCCATATGGTTTAGTATATTCCCAAAATTCCAGAAGCAGGAAAGAATATAAAAAAACTGAGACAAGATTTGTTTGAAATTATTTGTACTCCTAAAATATTATATTTTTACAAACGCATATTGTTATATATTTGGGATTAATTTTTATCGATTGATTGATCAATCAACTTCAAATATATCAAAAAGACTCTCTGTTGGAAAAATCGATAATAGCATATTATGCAACAAGTGCGGTGAGCGGTGCATTTTACTTACGAGTTTATTTGACAGGAGCGGAGCGAATTTTTAATAAACGAGTGATTCAAAAAGTCTACCGAACTTGTTGCATATTATACTTTTTCTAATACCGTTGCTCCCAAACCCGTGCGGTAAAATTCCGGAAACGCCTGAAGTTATTCGGATCCGTGAGAAACGAAACTGACGTGGTAAAGTGACGCTTCCCGCACGATAGAACGGTGCGTAATTAGGTATTTTACAGAAGGGAGTAGAAAATTTTTATCATGAAAGTATTCCGTTTAAAGTAAGACCTTTTCACTAAGTCTTTTTATGATTCTGAAAAAAGGTATTGAGTATCTTATTCTGATCGAATCTAAATAAATAGTTCGAACGTGAATTTAAAATTTGGAAACAATCGGATTACTTCTTGGCAGCATTCCACAACTCGAGATCGGTTGCAAAATATTATCGCGTTTAGTATACGTTTTCTTGCTGGTTTCAGAAATTTTCGCAACATCAGTTTTCTCTTATTTTTTACTAAATCAATGATTACCATTTTTATACTTGGCGCAACTCCGATTCTGATTATACTAATCGCGTGAAGACGCATCGATCTGAAAAGTGCCCCTGTTGCGTAATTCGCTTCTGCGTACATATTGTGTGTTTATGTTAGCGATTTTCCGACAGCGATACCATTCAACAAAAGCGAGTTTTATAAAAATCTTTGCGCGCGAGTTTGTTACGAGCAGGTGTTAATTAAATACTTGCAAAGCACCTAAACTGGCAAATATTTAAGAAAATGGCCGGTGGGAACGTGAAACAATATCGCTAAGTAAACTCAAGCTGGCACAGTTCCTGTTGATGATCCTAAATCATGTTACAAAATTGTTAGTTTCCGTATCGGAAATAAAAACACAATTTCCTTAATTAACGACTATATCGATTAACGCAATTAAAGCTACGTAAATCTTAACGTAATTATATATTTACCCAAACAGGCAGACGACATTAACGACTATAACAGAGAGAAAGACAAAATACAAGAAAACAAAGAACAAAAATAAAACTTCCATATACATGGTAACCGGCCCCAACTTAAGGGCATGATCTTCAGCTTGAAATAAGAAACAGAATTAACTGAAGTTTGGTATACTTGTTACATATTAAAAACCCAATATTTGGACCATTACAACGCTTTTCAGCATACAGGATGGTACATTTGTACAAAACAATACGTCATCTCTCTGTGGTCCTTCGAAGCATAAGATTCACCCTTCAATTTAGAAACTTTCATGGTAAACGCATTTTTTTCCAGAAATTTTCGTTTTTCAAATAAACCAATAAAATAATAAAAATAAATAATAAAAACAATTTTAACATTTAAAGACAAATGTCAACAAAAGCGTGTATTTTAGGTGTCAATGGACAAAAAATGTTTTTCTACACCCGTCTGTAAAATACCTAATTACCAATCGATCTAGCGTGCGGGAAGCGCCAATTTACCACGTCACTTTCGTTTCCCATGATACCGAACCACTTCGGGATTTTACCACACGGATTTCGGAGGGATCGGATGTTTTCGGAGATATTTCCCACGCTTTGAATTTTGACGTTTGTCAATTTTGACGGTCATGTCAGTGAATGCATTCGTGTTGTTTTGCGAAAATGTACCCAAAAACTAAGGGTCGTAGAAAAAGTATAGTATGCAACACGTTCGGTAAACTTTTTAACTCACTCGTTTATTAAAAACTCGCGAGTAAAATGCCGTTTACCGCACTTGTTGCATAATATACTATTTTCTACTAAGAAGTTAACGATTGCGACTTCCATATGCATGTGAATTCATAAAATACATATTACTCAATTAAAACGTCACAATTCAAATAAAGTGTAATTTTCAAGCATAAAAAAAATTATATTTGATATACTGCATCTCTGTAATAAAGTTTTTTTGGGACTCATGTTTATAGGAACTCTTTTTTTTTATTTTCAAGCTGAAGAACATAAGGTCGGTCCCTATATTAATAAATCATCCTGTATATACAATACTAATACCCCCACTGCATTAGTAGACTGAAAAGAAAAATATCTAATTCCAATTTCAAACATATTCACAACATATCAATTTTTTCCATCTTACGAATTAACTCAACAACTATGACTAAATTAATCAAATTGGGTTAATAGCATATTATGCAACAAGTTTGATAGAGGCCATTTTAGTCACCAGTTGAAGAAGTTTATGAATGTGTTACACACAACACCATTACCACTACCATTAGCAAAAGAGCATTTAGCAAAAATGCACTCTGTGACATGTGACGCAACTGTGACAAACGTCAAAACACCATCCACCAGCTAAAATATATCGCTGCAAAATCTGCGACTTGAGTCACACATACAAATTTCTTTGGTCATCTTCATTGTCAAACAATTTTTTTTTTCCAAATATTTAAAATGTACCCTTAATTTTATTTTTTAAATCCCACAATTCGCATTATATCCGTTCGTTGCTCTTCCAAAACACCGCACAAACATGCAAAAAAAAGTCTCTAACGTTTCAGAGAAATGTTTCATATTCTGTCAACATTCATTTCGATGCGTTGGGTCCGCATACACTCGCGTGTATTACGAGTTGCACGCTGTAGATGCATCGTCAAAGGTTGAAAGTAACCAATTCTGCAATTATCCTGTAGATGGCACAACGAGCAACGTTCGGAAGCGTTACAACGTTATTTCGCATATACCCCAGACATTCGTAGCAATTTCTTAATGCAATTTCCTTTTACGTTGTCGACAGAGTGTAATTTTTATAGGAACCAATCTAAACTGAATATAAATCACAAACCAATTTCAAAATCTTGATTAAAAACAAACACTATATCGAACTAGGCCTATCATTTTTGGGATCAACGAAAGTTGGTTTTACTTTTGGATGACAGATTGCGAGCCCGCTCTCTGCCTTTGAGGCCGAAG